TCACTGGAGTCAGTGCCTCTGTGTCAGCAGTGGCAAAAACCAAGTCTTCGACGTACACGAGGATGTAGAACGGCGGCAGCGAAGTGTCGGTGCGTAGAAACAGCGACGGGTCAGCAGTAGAAGGAGCAAACCCAAGAGCTGCAAGCGTCGTCCTCAGTGTGTCGTGCCACTCGTGAGGCGCCTGGCGGAGACCGTAGACTGGCCGCCGGAGACTCCACTGGGTACCAAGAGGGAACGACCCAGTGAAGCCAGGTGGGCGGTGCAGCCAGATCTCCTAGTGCAGGCTGCCCTGTAGGAAGGCTGTGCTGAAGTGAAGAGAGTGAAGCTCGTTGTCACGCTGAGCAGCGACGTGCAGCAGCACCCGAAGAGTGGTCATCTTCGGGGTAGGGGAGAAGGTCTGAAAGGAGTCAACTCCCTGTTGCTGACTAAAGCCTCGAGCAACGTAACGCGCCTTGAAGACAGGCGGAGAACATGGCAGCCGCTTCACCCTGAAAATCCACATTCCATCGACAATGTTCGCCCCAGGTGGGGGAACCTCCTCGACGTAAGTGCCTGTGGACTTCCAAGAAGCCATCTCTGCGTCCATGGCTATCTGCCACTGAGAGGAGTAGGGACCCTCTATCGCCTCAGCGTAAGAGCACGGGGTCGGGATGTCTGGTGCATCCGGGTCTCCCTAAGGTGCAAGCAGCATGGACACGAGATGGGGAAGGGCAGGCGGGCGCCTGCCCTTCCCGCCTCGGCGCGGCCCTGCCCTTCACACTGCCTAAAAGTGTTGTACCCCATATTGTCTACCCCACTACAGCCTACACAGACTATAGCATATGAGTTCGACAGGCAAGGGAGCCGACTCTGTTGCAGCAGCTCGAGGTCGACGAAGTCGTCAACGACGACGGGGAGCTGTTGGCAGGGGAGGAGTCTATCGACAGTGATGTAGTAGAGGTCGTGGCGTTCATCTCGCCTGTGCAAGGCCCCCTAGCCGCTAGAGCTACCACGCCTGCCTGCCGCAGGCCGCCTTCGCCACGCTGCACGACAACGCGCAGGCCGACGTCGACCTGCTCGAGCTCGACTCCGATGTGCACGCGAACCTGGAGCACAGCTGGGACATCGCTACCATGATGGTGAAGGAGGCGTTGGGGACTTGGAGGGCAATGTGGTGGAGGCCACCATAGACGAAGAGATCCGGAGCCTCGTCGCCAACGGAACGTGGGAGCTGGTCGAGCGTTCGTGCGGTGTCAACGTGACGAAGAACCGACGGATGCTCATGACAAAGCACCACATCGACAATCGGTCGCCCAAGAGAAGGCACGCTTGGTCGTAAAAGGATTCATGCAGATGTACGGCGCCGACTACAAAGAGACGTATGTGCCGGTCGGGAGCTAAGTAACGCGGAGGATCTTCCTAAGCATCGTCGCCGTCTTCGGCTTGCACTGCAGTAGCTCGACATGAAAAACACGTTCTTGCAGAGCAAGCTTGACCGCGTGCTCTACATGTACCAGCCCGACTACTACGAGGACATGACCGGCCGAGTGTGCAAGCTGCTGAAGAGCTTGTATGGGCGGAAGCAATCGCCGCTGTTGTAGTACTCGGCACTCAACACGGCACTGACCAGCACCGACTAGAAGAAGAGTCAGATCGACGAGGCTCTCTACATCTAGGTCGACGACGACGGAGTGGCATGTTGGGTGCTCATCGTCAACGACCTGCTTGCCGCCATCAGCAGCACCGCGATGCTGAAGGAGCTGCTAGAGGCTGCCATTGAGCTGTGCAAGATCAGCCCGCTCGAGAAGTACCTCGAGCTATAGATCATGCGCGACCATCCGATGAGGAAGCTGCTGTGGCTCCACCAGCAGACCTACATTGACAAACTGCGTCAGCGATTCATCGACGAGAAGCATGGTGGTCGAATACCGAAGACCCCGGTCTGTATCGACGCCTACGCCGAGCTGACGTTCGATGACGGAGTCTCGGTCGCGCGAGTAGTATCGGTTGAAGGTCTATAAGGATCAAGGATCGAGTTCAGAAAGCAAAATACGAATCCTGGGTACAACCTAGTGGCTATATATAGGCACGACACAGGGCAGGTAACACAGAGTTTACTAGAAGGTACCGGACCTCGGGAACCAATGGGAATGAGACCTTCCCGTATTCGGTAGAAGATATTTGGTGATAAAAAAAATGCCACAGGATCCAGTGCATGCAACCAAAATCGGTGCCATAACTATAATAAATATAGTAAAGCAACGATTCTATGAAATTAGCAAACAGTAAATTAAATATGCAACGTGATGCAAGGTAAAATAAACATGGGTAAGCGTAGCCGCTGTACTCTCACAAGGTCGGTTTGCTGCAGTTCATGGCAACCATGACAACGCCGGACAATGCCTTTGTGTGCAGCAAGCTGGGGAGCAGCGTGACAGTGAGGAGCGACAACCACCGGCGTGAGGTCAACCGCTGCAAGCACTACCTCTCCGACACACGTGACGCCTCATTGGAGTTTGGTGGCAGACCAGAGTCGCTGCATCTGGTAGGCTACAAGGACGTCGACGATACTAAGCAGAACCGTACGAGCACAAGTGGCTACGTGTTTGTCTTCGGTGGGGCCGCCGTTTGCTGGACGACCTAGCGCATCAAGTGCGCGACACTCTCGTCGAGTGAGTCGGAGTACGTCGCAGCCACCGAAGCCGGCAAGGAGGCACACGGACTTCATTTCCTCCTCGCCGAGTTTCAGCTGCTTGAGGCTAGGACACCGACTGTCCTTTGGGTGGACAGTCAGTTGGCCATTGCGGTTGTTGAGTGCTTGGTGCTGAAGGGCAACCTCAAGCACGTGGAGCATCGCTATGCCTGGCTGCAGCAAATGGTGATGCGCAGGAAGATTGCTCTGAAGTACATCTTGAACACCGAGTAGCCGGCCGATTGCCTGACAAATGCACTGCAATTTCCAGCCTTCAACCGGTGCTCCGTCGCCATCGGCCAAGTGCGTCTAGCCGACATCGGTGACGGTGATGACGATGTGCAGCAATAGGGTGCCTTTTTGCACGACTGGTGCGGTGACTTGCGTGCTGTGTTATGGGTGCACGTCGATGATGGAGTTTCCCCGTGTATTCTATCCCTTGGGTTCTGAGTAGACATAGTGTGTGGGGTGCCCAAACGTGAGCACAGCAAGGGAGTGTTGACAGGAAGTGGCCCCGCCCTCGCTTAAGCGAATCTACCTACGCAATCGGGTGCGCAGGAGGTGCAGCCGACTGCCCGCAGAGGTCGACACCGACTTCGGCGAGCAGGTCGACGGAGCTAGTCGACCTGCCTAGGTTGCTGCGAAGCCGCATACGAAGGAGATCAACAGCCAACTTCAACCAGGGTGGTCAACGAGTCTGTTGAGGAAATCTGTTCAACGCGATCCGAGCGACGACGTCAACGGACATCGCTGGAATACGAAAGTGGTTGGCGACCCCGTCGAGAGGTTCTGGTCGACAAGCCCGTCGATATGTATTGGTCGACGGGCTCTACTCGACAAGCTAGTTTCAGCGAGTGCTGTTCAAACGAGCGTCGTCAAACTCTTGGACGGAAGTTGCAAGATTGCGAGACTTGTCAGGTGTGAGAGTTTTACTTCTGCGAGCTTTGGCGAAGTCGACCCGCGGGCTGGTATCCCGAGGTCGACCTAGAGCATCTAGCGTGATTGTTGGCACGTGGCCAACTCAGCATCTATGCAATGTGCGGGACGAGGCACAATGTGCTCGAACACCTAGAAGCACCTGCAAAGCGGGTGCTTGCATGTGCTATTGTCATCTACGAGTGCAGCGTTCGCAAGCCGTGCAGAGGCAGCGCTGGCAGGTCGTCGACTTGCAAAGTTGGCAAGCCGCCTCCAGCTGAGTTGGCAGACCATCGATCTGCTCCGCCGGCAGGCCATAACGTTGTCGCGCTAGAGGTCGATCTAACTGGTCGCTAGACTGCTAGGTCCCAGATGTAGTCACATTTTCATTACTTTTCCTATTATTCTTGCATCATTGTTCTCAACTTTTGCTAGTGGAAACTCTTGCAGTTTTGCCCTGTGAATGCACAAGTGCTAGAGAACACAAGGAATGTTGCGATCACTCGTACCGCCCATGCCTTCCCCATATTCTAGCTCCCACCTATGTAGAGTGACCTTCCGCAGAACCTGCATGACCAGCACTCCTAGGGTCAACATCCCCCAATGTACCACCACATCCACCTCCTCTACAGCTACGACCAACCATGCGTCAACCCCGTCTATGTAGAAGTAGGCTCAGCAACAGCAGTAGAGGCAGCTAAAGAAGGGAGCTGGGTCGTAGCGCACCCCTCAAAATTGGGGGGAACTATTGCACCACTGGTGGAGGAAATAGTGCAGAGGCGGGTCACAATTGACTGAGACTAGTCTCGAATAGATCGATAGTGAAGTGCATTGGGTTCGTGACAAGGAGGGCATGGTGGGCATGCGCGAGGCGGTCAAGCGAGAGTGAGATACATGAGGGGGGGGAGGGGGAGTGTGGCATAAGATCGTCAGCAATGCAATCTGTGTGGACACTAGAGTCAAGCGAACGTATCTGGGTAATGAGGTCAGCAACAGTAGAGAAAGCAGGGAGATTAAACAAGAAGAAAGGCATGACAAGGCGCCATTGAGTAGAAGAGGAAGATGTGGATTAGGGAGCAACATTAGCATTTAAATACTTGTTTGCCGTCACGACATGGTGAAAGTGCACTCGCTCCGCCGGTGGCAAGAGGCAAATAAGAGCAAGGTGCGCAAAAGCATTGAGCGGGACTCAAACCGCGTGCACTGTCGAGGCCACGTTGTGAGCCTCTCGCTCCGCCAGCGTGGGCTCAGTAATAAGAGCAGTAAGGACGCTAAGGGGTAGGGCTGTTCACCGGACACGTGGGCGTACAGGGAGACGTCGTCCTTGCGCTGGCTCTACTGGTGGATCTGGACATAGATCAGCCATGCTTCAAAGTTGATCGCCTGCCCCTCTGTATTGAGCCGCAGTACGAACTTAGACGCCATGACAGGAGTGAGCAGGGGCACAACTTTAGCAAATGAGAGGGGAGCTAAGCAGTAAACATGCCAAGGAGAAGGCAGTCAAGGGTGGTCAGGCGGAGCTAAACCTTGAAGCGCGGCAGCAAGCGCAGCGGCAGCAGCTACAGGGATGGCATCACCGGCAGCTGCTCGTCAGGTGCGACTGTAGGGTGGCCAGGGGCAGGCGCAGCCAGATGTGCACCAGGAGGCACAGCCAGCAGGCGCTATAGGAGGCGCAGCGGTAGGCACGGCAGCAGGTGCCGCCGGGCAGCATGGCGGCAGCAGGCGCGGGCAGGTGTGCAGACACGGCAGGCGCGGCGAGCGCAGCAGGCGCGACGAGCGCAGCAAGCGCGGCGAGCGCAGCAGGCGCGGCGGTGACAGACACGGCAGGAATAGCGGCAGCAGGCACAGCAGGCGTGCGGTGGGCACAGCGGAACATGTGCGGCAGGTAATGGTGTAAATACAATTACGATTCTGAATACGATTAGTGTAAACGAATAATTACCAAATACTTAGCAAGATTTTTTATTGTCCAAATATCTTTCCTTATACAAACACAAATACGGTTCGAATATGCAAATATCTGTCGAATACGGATTAGGGTTTCCAGGCCTTAGGGTTGGAATTGTGAATTTAGTCCACAATCTAGTTGTTCTATGTCCTGTATAATCTCAATTCCCCAAATAGCTTTTTCTATTTCAAATGTATTGTGTGGTTCTGGAATTACATTGACATTCCAACTTCATAAGCATATTGATGAAATTTAAGGTGTTCTAACTAGGTTCCCCAAGCAGATGCATGTGTGTGAATATTGAAGTTAAGAGTTTTAAGTTACAAACTACACCATATGCTTGAACACATCGTGGTAATGACAGTTTTTAATTAATATTGGTGTTACATGCCCAATTGGTTGATTGTTTGCTTTCGGTCAGTGGCACGAGGGTTCAATTCCTGTCTGGTTCGTTTGTGACACTAATAACATCTTTGGTATAAGCTACTTGTTGCACCCAAAAATAGTAGCCACACCAAGTCAGATTCAGTAAATATGATGCAATTACAGCTGACTCTCCTGCACGAGCCTCGGAGCGAAGGGCAACCAAAGCCACTATGGATGATGGATGTGGAGATGGTGGACAAGCCATGCGTCGAAGAGGTGCAGTGCGGAGGGCAGCAGGAGCTGCAGACCGGAGGGCAGCAGGAGCTGCAGCGCGGAGGTCAGCAGCAGCTGCAGAGCAGAGGGCAGCAGTAGCTGCAGAGCAAAGGGCAGCAGTGGATGCAGAGCAGAGGACAGCAGCCGTTGCAGAGCGGAGGGCAGCAGCGGATGCAGAGCGAAGGACAACAGACGGAGTCGAGCAGGGAGATGTCGCCAGCGGGTTCGATTGGAGGGGAACGCCCAGACCCTACCCTGACGCCCCCGCCTCGCATCCCGTGCGAAACCTGTTATCACACGTTCACGGACAGAGGAAAAGCCACACGCCACATGTCGCCTTCAAGGTAGCGGATGCAGAACGTCGTGCTCAGGCTCTTGGGTTAACTCACAACGTCATAGATGACTTGGACGGCAAAACAATGCCACCACGGGAAATCAAAGAGGAGGTGTGGGCTGCAGTTCCTACATGGGACTGGGAGTCGTTCTTTGGGATCGAGTTGGTGCCAGGAAACTCATGCACGGCATCCCACATCGTGCTAGACTGGGGGTGCTTGATGCACTCTCTTGCGTTCTCTAGCGGCTTCATTTGAAAGTAGCAGATGATGCGGCATCTTTGGTCTTTCTGGCCATCCTTTGTCATATTCTAGTGATTCCAACGGGGCAAGGCCAGGGGCACATGCGGCAATTAGGGAGCGGTTGGGGAAGTTTTCAACCCGGGAGTGGGGGCAGCTGTTTGAGTCGGTGGTAGCGGTGATGCATCCAGCGGCTCGTCCTTTGTCCTTCACCCCTTTCGAGCATGACTGTGATGCAGTGCGCCTGGCTTGCTGTCGTACAAGATGCAAAGTGCGAGAATGGAGTAGAGACTTGGCGTGTCTTACAGTTGGTAGCATGGCGCAGCCCTCCCAGCACATGGTGGACTTGCTACGCACCAAACACCCATCATGAAAGACCGCCATCTCTAAGTGGGTGCACGAGGCAACAATCGAGCCGCTCCTTATCCCCCAGCTTTCAGTGGAGGTACTCGGCCAGGTGATCCACTCATCGGCTTGGCGTCTGCACCAAGACCATCAAGGTGGGTGACGGGGCACCTGCATACCTGCCTCACCTGCTAGGGTTCTTCACCCAATGGACCTAAGGAGAGGTAGTGGAGCGCGTGCGACCCTGGCTGACTGCGTCCAACCTTGTGGGTCTATTGAAGCCGAATGGTGACGTTCGTCAGGTGGCTATAGGCGAGGTGCTCCCCCGCATCCTATCGAGGGCTCTATGCATCGTGCTCTGTCTGAAGATGGTGTCGCATTTCTCTCCGTGTAACCAACTTGGAGTTGGGTCCAAGTTGGGAGTGGAAGTCTTGGCACACGCCTTTCGTTCTGCTATCTCTACTCATCCGTCATGGTGTGCGCTTCATATTGACGTGGCGAATGCTTTCAACTCTTTCCATCAGCAAGAAATGTTCGAAGGCCTCCGTCAGTCGCCCTTCGAGGGATTGTTTCCATTCTTGCGCATCTTCTACGGCATCTCTAGCGACCTCTACCTCAGCGCGGGCCCCTTTGTTGAAGCTTTGGCTTCCGAGCGGTGCTCAAGGCAGGGAAACCCATTGGGGCCGTTTCTGTTCGATTTCACATAGCATCTGGTTGTGGAACCAACCAAGCAAGAATTCTCCAACCTCCTTTTCCTCAACTACGCCAAACATACGTATATCATTGGGCCTGGGGAGCGGGTGTTGGCAGCTTTTGGGTTCTTGTGGGAACGATTGGGCAGGCTTAGTCTGGAGGTGCAGCCGCATAAGTGCAAGCTATGGGAGCGGGGGGTGGACCAGGAGGGGGAGGACAGGAGCGAGACAATCCTACCAGGCATGCAACAAACATGGACGATACTCACTGTAGTTGGTGTTGTTCTGTGATGCTATCATATACATTCACGTCTGTCTGTCTCCTCTCATGCGTTCGTACGTTGCATGCGTGGTGTGAGCGTGTGCAATGATTTTGTGTATCCAAGTTAGTTCCGATAGGGAGGGGAAATTGTGTGCTTATGGGGTTTCCTTGGTTGGGGACTCCCTGGGGACCTTCTCTCTCGTCCTCCTTGTCCTCTCCTACCTGGTTTCTAGTTAATCTAGGTCTCTTGTGTGGTTCTTGGGAGAATATTGTGATTGAATTAAGTTTCTGTGGCAGCATATCTCGAGATTTAATTCACCTCCTTATACGATTCAAATTGGGACTTGTCGCTCCAGACTAGTGGTACACCATATCCAAAATAAGTGAAGTTTCAAGGGTGAAATTTTCGTCGACGGCGATTCTTGTGAAGTCGACTTTTCTGTCCATAATCAAAGTCTAATGATTTTGAGTTATTTTGGCCCCTAATCTACATAGACTACGTCCTTTATTCTAACAAGTGGTATCAGAGCTAATTAATGACTTTATGGAGAGTCTACTAGGATGTGAAGAACCTTCTAGACCCACCATGGCCTGTGGGTGTGTCTAAGTGGAGTTATGAAGGTTGGAGGCAACTTGTGCTAAGGGGAAACTGTGCCGAAATTTCGTTGGCGCTGACACTTGTGGAAATTTTGTGGGACTTCAAAGTTGACGGCAAAGGGGGGAGCTGAAACTCATCATTAGCTGAGTCTAAGATGAATGAGAGAGGAGGAGCTACAGCTAAGAATAGGAGTGAGCCGCCACCATCCAATATTGAGGCTTTTGATGGCTCCAACTATGAGGAATGGAGCGTGCGGATGAGGAGTGCTTTCAAGCGCTACAAGCTACTGAAACTTGGGATGGGAGAAGGCACGTGACCGATGGATCAAAAAGAGCGCGGTGCTGTATGACCTCATCCTACAGACGGTCAACGATGACATGTTTCAGCACATCAATGATCTGGTGGAGTTAGATGACTTCGGGCCGAAAGCATGGAAGCTACTACGTGACATCATTCAGCCCAACACGCTGCCGAAGGAGTTGGCTGCTCTCTCCATACAACCGGGCGATGGTGTGAAACCGGTCCTTGACAATATCAAGGACACCTACGCGAGGATGGCAGCTGCGAGCAGCAAGGTGTCGCAGATGCAGCAGTGCACCAAGATCATCTCAGTGCTTGACAACTCGTGGGACAACCTGATACCCACCCTCAACACTCAATAGGACCAATGGAACCCGAGTGGCTATGTCAGCAAATTATGCAGGAGGACTTCCGCAGGTGCCATTTGGAAGGTGATGCTGCCAACAAGACTGCTGAGGGGTATGGAGCTGCAGGAGGCGGCAGAGGAAGAGGGGGCAAGAGAGGCCGAGGCCATGGGAGAGGCTTTGGTAAAGGGAGAGGCCAAGATGACTAAGATGAGGGGCATGGGAGCTGTGGTGGCAGGGGGAGCACTCGAATAGAGGGTGCATGTTGGTACTGCAAGAAGGCTGGACATCCATGGTTCAAGTGTTTCAGCAAGCCTAAGGGATGGGCGCCGCTGGGCATGAAGCCACCAAGTGGTGAACGCGCACAAGGTGGCAGTGTGCAAGGTTCAGGTGCACAAGGTGAAGGTGCACATGGTAAAGCCTCCCTTGGGATGTTCCTCATGGTTGAGGATGTGAAAGGGATTGGGGGTGGGTTCGGTTGGGAAGGTTGTGATGCACCCCCTCACTCACTCAGTAATTATAAAAGTTGCACAAGTCACATGACCCCATGGGCAGATCTGCTGGACGAGGTGAAGTCCCTTGGGAAAATCAAGTTTGTGGCTGCCGCTTCAGATGCTTTGCTCTCTGTGATTGGTGTTGTGAATGCCAAGGTGATGGGAGCCAATGGGGAGCTTGTGGGGCTTGGGAATGTACTGTTAGTTGAAGGTTTGTCCGCTAACCTTCGTTCTGTGCGCCGGCTGATGTCACTTTCGGCCCAACCAGCTGCCGTGCGAAGCTTGAGAAGTTGCTGCTGTGGAATTTGGAGGAGAAGATCAGCTACATCAAGGACCTCTAGCAGCTGCCCATCATCCCATGGAATGGGAAACCACCAGCAACGGCAATGGCAGCAGCAGCGGCTGAAGCAACTACGGGAGTAGAAGAGACTGCACCAAATGTTGGGGTCCAGGATGCAATCAACAAAAGGCAGCAGCCACAGCAGCCACATGGTGAGGTGCTTGCTGGTGTGGATGGGACAGATGCATGGGCAAAAGCTTCATCTAGAAGTGGTGAGGCTAATAGGGAGACATGGCTTGCGAGGCTATGCCATGTGAACTTTCATATGCTACAGAAATTGGTGAATGATGGGAGCTTGAAGGAGCTGGAGGTAAGGGGGGCAGCAAAGGAGATTGGGAGCTG